TTTGTCCCCCCCCCCCCCCCTATTCTAGGGTGTTTTTCTTTCTCTTATTCAATTTACCACTCCCTTATAGGAAATTCTTCAGTCTCTTCTCTCCATTTTTACCCTCCAATGTCAATTTAACATGAGTGTTAGCAATTTGAGTAAAAAAGAGGAGTAAACTTGAGGGTTTGAAGTGCCTTGTTGTTACATAATTCACTTCATTTGGCAGGTTATTGTTGTAATAAATTCACCTAATTGAATAATTGTTAGCTTCAAGTATTACTTAATAAATCACAAAGTGCACAATGAAGAACAGGAGAAGAATGGAGTAAGGAGATAAACCCTATAATCCACTAGGTTAAACCCTTGACGTTCATAAAGGATGCAAGACTTAAAAAAAAAAAAAAAACCTCCAAAATGCTAGGGTTTTGAAGTCCAAAGGAATAAAAAATAATTGGTTTACTGGAACAGCTAAAATTTCTTTTATTGGAACAGGATCTCCTAAATGCTAAAATGGCCACTATATAAGCACACCAAAAACCTCGTAGGGGTCCCAATCAAAATAGGGAACAAAGTAATAGTATTACCAGTAACAAATAAATCCCCAAATAATCAATTGAAATCAGACAATCAAATATCATGACCAAAATCTCTAATTTATTCTTCATTCTGTAAAATAAAGTACACTTTCATGATTCTTTGGTATTCATATTCTTGTTTTTGAGTCTTGTTAATTGTTGTGCCTTTTCCCCTTCGATTTCCAGGTGACATTCATGGGCAATATTCAGATCTTTTGAGGCTTTTTGAATATGGAGGCTTTCCTCCCAGTGCCAATTATTTATTCCTAGGTGATTATGTGGACCGTGGGAAGCAAAGTTTGGAAACAATATGCCTCTTGCTTGCCTACAAAATCAAGTATCCTGAGAACTTCTTCCTTTTAAGAGGAAACCATGAGTCTGCTTCGATTAATCGAATTTATGGATTCTATGATGAATGTAAACGACGGTTCAATGTGAAACTTTGGAAGACATTTACAGATTGTTTTAACTGTCTTCCTGTTGCTGCTCTTATAGATGACAAAATATTGTGCATGCATGGTGGGCTTTCCCCTGATTTAACAAATTTGGATCAAATTAGGAACTTACCTCGTCCAACTGACGTCCCAGATTCTGGTTTGCTTTGTGATTTACTCTGGTCTGATCCTGACAAGGATATCAAAGGCTGGGGAGTGAATGACCGGGGGGTGTCATATACCTATGGTCCTGATAAGGTTGCAGAATTCTTAATGAAGAATGATATGGACCTTGTATGTCGTGCTCATCAGGTTGGTGAAGTTGCTTCTTCTATTGGTTCTTTAAACTCAAGCAGTTTTCCATGATGCCTCTATTTTTTTCCCCTTTCATCAGGTTGTTGAGGATGGATATGAATTCTTCGCAGAGAGGCAGCTTGTAACAATATTTTCAGCTCCCAACTATTGTGGTGAATTTGATAATGCCGGTGCAGTGATGAGTGTTGACGAAACCCTAATGTGCTCTTTCCAAATACTTAAGCCAGCAGATAAAAGGTTCAGGTTCATGTGAAATGTTTGCTGTCCTATAACCACGTACCATTTCTATGTAAGTTTCATGCTATAAGTTCTCTTCTATTTATTAGCTGTTTCTTTTGTGTTAAATCATGATTCTTATGAAACAAAATCCATTTCCATTGTTTAGTTATTTGAAAGACTAAAAACCTTTCTTGGGAAGGGTTCAGCATCCTTTTAGATGATTATTTAATTAGTAATATTTAAGGAAGCAATATTGTTTGCTAATAACATTCCATTAAATACAAGTAATAGAGCATACCTTTACAAATTGGACACAAAATAATTTTAAATGGAGCTATAATCTGATTAGATCTTTCGCACACCAAATATATCTAAAGTTTGCCATTAAAATATATTTGTTGCAATACATTATTTCCTCATCGTCATGATAGAAATTATTAAATATGTAATTAGATTAGGGAATATGTAATATATACCAACCATGAGAAGAAGCCCATATATTGCTTCAGCAATTTAAAGGAAACACTCATATAAAAAATAGAAACTAAGGGAAGGGGGAGCGATCAAGCAATTCAATGCTCGGGGCTACTTTGTATAATCAATATTACTGTGTTGAGTTCTTTCTGCTGCTTATCTGGATTAATACATCTTCCATTAGTTTCTTCTACATGACAGTTCAAATTTGTCTCCGTCATTGTTCTTTTATTCCTTGTGTTCTCGACAGATTCTGGTGTTCATTGTTCTGAATTCTAATATGCTGATATCTATTCTCGTTGCATTGCTTGCTGTTTTGCTAATCACTTGCGCACCTTTGTTGTAGGACTTCTTTTCAAGTGTATCACAAGGAGGATCATATGGAGATGGAGATGGAGATGTTGTCATCAAAGCTGCTCCAACTTTGAGCTGCTGCTGCCATCATGATGTTACAATGTTTCTTGTTTCAAGGGGATGGGTTATTTGTTGAAAAGGCTGTGTTTGCAGGAGCTTTCCAAATTCGTAGTTTGGAGCTAACTGTTGTTTGAGAGCACTGGCAAAGGCCAAAAAATTTTCCCTTTTCATGTTTTCTCACGTAAATTATGATGCCCTTGTAGATACATTTTTGTTTTTCGTTGTAAATGACTGCATTGATACACCAGTGCACGATTGCCTTTTACCAGGGTTTCTGGTGGTTAGTACACAAATGACTTGCAAACTAGTGCGCACTAGGTTTCTGACCCTTGATTTTCTCGGGTTTTCTTGGGACTCAAGCGTCGGGTGAAGCATGTGCTTTGACTGAGTTGCCAGCTTCAGTTTGCTGGAGTGTTCCAAAGAAGTCCAATGAACGGGTAAATTGACGGGTGTAATGCAAGTTATTTCTTGCTTGACCATTTGACTGGCTTTCAGCCTGGTGCCGCAAAGAATTGGTCTCAATTCCGTTATTTTCTTCTTGAATGCCATCAGAAAGAGTGCTGTGACCTTTTTTTCCGATGCAATCATAGAAGATACAAGGAATATAGTGTAGCACACTCGTCTTGGTTGATGCCGCAGGTCATAGTATGCTTGTAAGGATTGTTTATCCACGTTTCCGAGAGTTTGGTTGCCATTTAGTGAAAGGTATCCCTTCCAAGAAAGTGCCTTTTAAATTTTCTTGAGGGAGCAATTTTTCTGTTTTAAAATTGCTTTTGAAAAGATTTTTTATTTTATTTTATTTGTTTTAAATTAATTTTTTAATTTTTAATTTTTTTAATATATTAATATTAAAAATAATTTTTAAAAAATAATAAAAAATATTTTAATAAATATCTAAGCTGCCACTTGCACTTCCTAACACCCTATCAACCTAACTGTCACCGCTGCAATATTTGGGCAATATTTGAGTGCTTGGTATATAGTAGTTTTTTTTAGTTACGGTTTAAAAGAAAAAATTGTAATTTGAAAAAATTTATTTTATTATAACTATTTTTTTATTAAAATTTGTTTGATATTTATATATGTTTGATTAAAACTACAATTAAAAATGAGGTTAAACAAAAATAATTTAATGTATTTGGTATTGATGATTTTTAATTTAAGTACTGTAGATCTAACTTCAGTTATTATGAAATAAATAATATTTTATATAAAATATTTTTTATTGTTCCTTTAAACTATTTACAATTTTATTATATATAAAATTCATCAGATAAAAATTATAATTTTCATGATTTTTTGAAGTATGCGCAACAAAATCAAGTAAAATATTGTCAAGAAAAAAATTAGAATTATAATTAAATTTTTTAAATGCTATGTTATTATGTGATTTTTTTAAATTTATATAGTATCATTAAATAATATTAAAAAATAATTTTTTAAATAAAATATAATTAAAAATAAAAAATAATTTTTTATTATTTACATGAATAATATAAAATAAATTATAATTTACTCTACACTCATCATAAAGCTGCTTTCGACATTCTAAACACAAAAATATTAAATTCCATAAACAGTAAATCATACTTTACCGAACATCAATATTTATGCGATTTCCTTCAACCAAGAAGCAATCACAAAAACAAACATTTTAAGAAAGTTTATTCAGGAGCGGCTTCTGCCAGCAACTTTTTGAAAGGATCGAATGATTAGAAACAGGGAATTGAGGGGCTATATTAGGATGAAAAAATAATAGAAGAATCAAACTCAACCAAATCTCAGAGAAAGAGGACCAAATCCTACTTAGCCCATAAGACGCAGTGTGAGAGAGAGAGAGTATATTTCCTGAGAAGGGCCGGTAAATCATCAAACGCCTTCATTTAACAAGGTTGAGAGTAAAACCACATCGTGTCTTGCAAGCAGGCACCATAACTTATCGTCTAAATGTGGGCTTTTCAGTCTCCCAAAACTACGCTTCTACCTTCCCACGCCACATTCTTGCCTCGCCCTTCTCTAAAACCCCCAGTTTGCTCCATAACCTTAAATCCCACTGCCGACAACAACAAGCTAATCCAATCTCTCTGCAAACAAGGCAACCTCACACAAGCTCTTAAGCTCCTCTCTCATGAGCCCAATCCTGCCCAACACACTTATGAGCTCCTAATTCTTTCTTGCACCCACCAAAACTCTCTCCTTGACGCCCAACGCGTTCATCGCCACCTCCTTGAAAATGGGTTCGACCAGGATCCTTTTCTGGCCACCAAACTCATCAACATGTATTCCTTTTTTGACTCAATTGACAATGCACGCAAGGTGTTTGATAAAACGCAAACCAGAACTATTTATGTTTATAATGCGCTCTTTCGAGCGCTTTCGTTGGCGGGTCATGGAGAAGAGGTTTTGAACATGTACCGTAGAATGAATTCTATTGGGATTCCCTCTGATAGGTTCACTTATACGTACGTGCTTAAAGCTTGTGTTGCGTCAGAATGTTTAGTGTCGCTGCTAAACAAGGGAAAAGAGATTCATGCCCATATTTTGCGACATGGATATGATGGATATGTCCATATTATGACCACCTTGGTAGATATGTATGCAAAGTTTGGTTGTGTATCTAATGCGAGCTGTGTTTTCAATCAGATGCCAGTGAAAAATGTTGTTTCTTGGAGTGCTATGATTGCTTGTTATGCGAAGAATGGGAAGGCTTTCGAGGCATTGGAGCTGTTCAGGGAATTGATGCTTGAGACTCAAGATTTATGTCCGAATTCTGTGACAATGGTTAGTGTACTTCAAGCTTGTGCTGCACTTGCAGCACTGGAACAAGGTAGGTTGATACATGGATATATTCTTAGAAAGGGGCTTGACAGTATCTTGCCAGTAATTAGTGCCCTTGTTACAATGTATGCTAGATGTGGTAAGCTTGAATTGGGGCAACGAGTTTTTGATCAGATGGATAAGAGAGATGTTGTTTCGTGGAATTCTTTGATTTCAAGTTATGGGGTTCATGGATTTGGAAAGAAAGCAATTGGAATTTTTGAAGAGATGACCTACAATGGTGTAGAACCTAGCCCCATATCTTTTGTTAGTGTTTTGGGAGCTTGCAGTCATGCCGGACTTGTTGACGAGGGAAAGATGTTGTTTAAGTCGATGCATGTAGCGCATGGGATATGTCCTAGTGTTGAGCATTATGCTTGTATGGTGGATCTTCTTGGGCGTGCCAATAGGTTAGAAGAAGCTGCTAAAATTATAGAGAATATGCGGATTGAACCAGGACCTAAGGTTTGGGGTTCTCTTCTTGGATCGTGTAGGATTCATTGTAATGTTGAGCTTGCAGAGAGGGCAAGCATAAGGCTTTTTGACCTTGAGCCTACAAATGCTGGGAATTATGTGCTCCTTGCTGATATCTATGCTGAAGCTGGTATGTGGGATGAAGTTAAAAGAGTTAAGAAGCTCCTAGAAGCTAGGGGATTGCAAAAGGTCCCAGGTCGCAGTTGGATAGAAGTTAAAAGGAAAATCTACTCATTTGTCTCTGTCGATGAGGTTAATCCACAGATGGAGCAGCTCCATGCTTTGTTGGTTAAATTGTCAATGGAATTGAAGGAGGAAGGCTACGTGCCACAGACCAAAGTTGTGCTCTATGATCTCAAGGCAGTAGAAAAGGAACGGATTGTGCTAGGTCATAGCGAAAAACTGGCTGTTGCCTTTGGACTTATCAACAGTAGCAAAGGGGAAGTCATTCGGATAACCAAAAGCTTGCGGTTATGCGAAGATTGTCACTCCTTTACTAAGTTCATTTCCAAGTTCGCAAATAAGGAGATTCTGGTAAGAGATGTGAATCGATTTCACCATTTTCGTGACGGGGTTTGTTCCTGTGGGGACTATTGGTGATTACATGCGGTAATCTTTCTTTTTTTTTTGATATATTGTTCCTAATGATTCGTGATGATTTTCAGAAGAACACAGAGAGATACATGTACAGTAGCAACTTGAAGTATTTGAATATTAATAGTTTTACTATATAATCTTCGTCAAAGTTACTAACTTCCCGAACCAAAAATCTTTCCCTTCCTTTTTCAACTGAGCTGCCCCTCGTGCGGAAGCAGTTCAAAGGAAAACATCTCTAAATTCCCAAATCAAACCTTCGTGAAGGGAAATGAGACGATAGATTTCCGATTCAACCTCGGAGCATATTGACATTACACACATGCATCGCCGGGGAAATCCAGAAGGCAAAAACATGTAAAAAATACGACTAAAATCCATATGAAGTCCAAGTCAAAATTGTTGTTGTAAAGGTACACATGCTTTCCCCCCTTTTTGCCCTTTTCCTCTGTTGGGTATTTCAACCATGTTAATAAGACGTAAAACCTATTCAAAACATATTCCTTCAAATACATGTAATACTTGTTCCTAAAAGCGCAAGTAATTCCATGGAAAAATTCTGATCCTAAGAACTGACTCCAACTCCGAGAAGAAAGAGAAGCATCTCCAGCAAACCGCGTTCTTTTTGTAAGGATTCAAATTCGCAACGAATGATTTCGATTCTTCTGTGCACCTATCTATTACTTTTTTTAAGGATTCAAATTGTAGAAGAGGAGTGTCCTAACTCTTAAGCCTTTTTTCTGTTCAAAGAATATACAAAATAACCGCTTTGTTTTAGCACCGGATTCAGAATTAATAACCAGTTAGGTTATTATTTATCTTTTCCTCGTCCACATCAAGTTGTCTGGGTGGTGTAGTCGGTTATCACGCTAGTCTCACACACTAGAGGTCCCCGGTTCGAACCCGGGCTCAGACATTTTTCATGCTCAACCTACATAATTATTAACATCTATATTAATTAAAAAAATAACATAATGTGAATGGTTTAGCAAGGAAAAAAAGGGAGAGGAGAGAGAAGAGATAGAAAAAGGTGCAGGTGGCCACACGACCAGGGTCCAAGGTTATTTTATTTTATAAAAAACTTCTCCTTCTTTTTGTATTTTCAGTATCATCACAATATCTCTTTTTTACTTTAATGTTCTGTACAATAAAGCTTTACAGCTTGGGATTTTTAATCATTAAGTCTCGTCTGGTAATGTAAACTTGTGGACTGGTTTTTTTTTAATTTAGATTATTTTAATTTGTTATTGTTAAAAATAAAATATTTTTAAAAAACAAATTTTACTATTTCAATCTCAAAACTACCTTAGATTAGTAAGTACTGGTGTTAAACTGTAAACACCCTCATTTTTCGGTCAGACC